GGTGGGGGTTATCCTTGCACCACTCTCATGGGAGAAAACTAAAGCTAAAGAATATTTACAGTATCTCGGCTCAACGGTTGTGAAAGAACTACGTGGCACAGAGTCCACTAAGAAGTCCATACAAAAGCTGAAAGCCTCTAGCGAGGGTGAAGGCAAATCGGGCTCACCGCTCTCCCTGGCCATCAGTCATCGCGGGGTAGAGTTTATCGATGTGAGCAGCAAGGTAAGTCCATAAAAGAGAGCTCTACCCTATCTTTATCTGTATATGGATATTCCTTGTAGCGCATCATTTGCGAGCATGAGATACAAAACATCAACTGCGCCTGCCAGGACTCGGAGGATCTGCGACACTTTGCCTACATCACCAAAGAACAGGATCTGCACTACTGCCACGTGTTTCAGGTTCAAAGCACGGTGAGTAAAACCAGTAACAACAGCTCGAAGGTATCCCCTTGCTAAACTTCTCTTATTTCGCCATGCAGGACCTGGCCAGTGAGATTATACTGACGCTGGGACAGGCCTTCGAGGTGGCCTACCAGCTGGCGCTGCGCGATGGGATTGCCGCCACGCCAGCGCTGCTCCTGGATAATGGCATGCTGCTGGGCGAGTACTGTAGTGGGAAATAGAGTGAGGACCTGGCCGTAGTTCAAGCAGAAGCCAAGCAACCCACACCGGCACCACTCAGGCCAGGTCGCAGTCTCAATCTAAATCTCACTCACAATCCCAAACACAGTCGCAGTCGCAGTCTCTGCTCCAAACTACTTTGCCTCACCAACTATGGGGCGCTGTTCAAGCTCTAGTTAGATGGAATTTTTGTAATACGGTAACTACACAACTTCCAGATCGTAGTTCTTGCATTTTATACGAAATGTTATTTAGAAAAAGAAAAAGATAAAAACATTTTCGAATGGCCAAAGAACAACTACAAAACGAATAGAACAAAAAGACTCTTAACAAAAGGCACAATTTTTTCAATGTAAGAGAAACGCACAACAAAAACCCAAGGCTTTTTTCGAGCTTCAAAACTTCCACAAATGATAAAAAAAAAACAGAGCCCAACAGCTTACATTCATATGGAGATTATCATTAGATGCATTTTTAATTTTTCCCCTCTTAAAAACCAAGCATATGAACATAATTGCATTTACAAAGTAAACAAAAAAAAAAGAAACGAAATATATGAAAATGTTTTAGCAAATTTTTAAAAAGATAAACAAAAAAAAACAGACAAAACCATTGAGAAACACAAACAAATTTAAAAATATATTGGCTTATTAAACAATTTTATCGATGTTGAATGCTGCACAGTTCCAATAGGAACAAACAAAGAATTGAAATTAAATTAAAAGTAAATTTAAAATACAAAAGCAATGCAAAAATCATATCCCGCATTCATGGATATCTATAATCTATTGGCTAATCCACATTTACTCTATATACTATATACATACGATTAATACCTATGTAATACCGATATGTATGCGTGTGTTGTTATATAATTTTTAATTGAATATTTAAGCGAATCGAATCAAATCAAAGTACAGACAACGCATCAAGTTATAAGCGAATTGTTGCTTACAAAATCATCATTAATGAAAGTTTACTACATCGATGTGAAGAGAGTATTGTATCTTCATAAGTATTAATGAATGTACAATTTTAAGTATCATTTTTGGAGCATATTTTACGAATTTTTAAAGGAATGGAATTTTTAACTAGTCCCTTAGTTGTTAAATTGTGAAACATTTTGTATTTGGTTTAAGGCCAGGCCTTGTTGTTGTTATCCTCTCAATCATTCTCTTGAGTTGATGTTTTATTTAGCAATTGTATTCATAATTTATTCTCAACATGATTCTACTCTATCGATGTATGCAAATGCTTTAAATGTTAGCCTGCTTCTGGTACAACAGACTCCATTAAGTACCTACCTAATCAATACAAAAACGAAGATAATTAAAGATCATCTTAATCCAAATTCTCTTGGGCAATTCAATACTTTGTTATGCCATAAAGACAACACCCTGCTCCTACTCCTTTTCCTGCTCATCCCAGATATAAATCAATTTTAATAAGCTATATGCGAAATCATATTCTAGCCCATAACTAATGAAATTGAATAAGAAAAAACAAACAAACAATATATACAAACACATACACAATATACAACAAATTGAAAGCTGACGATAATCCGAAGAGCAAAAACCCCCCATAAAAGAGAAATAAATACAAATTACAAACGAAGCAAAAACAGAAATTGATGGAGAATACTAAATAAATACATAATTAACTGAAGCCACAAGTTGTTTAACTCTTGGACGGGTCAGGTCTTCCCATTTAAACGCCTCATGATGTCAATTAAGGCGCACTTTCCCACACTGGCCTCACCATAGCAGAACGAGACAGCTAGTTGCATAGAGGGACAGAGAGGGAGAGAGCGCGCGCGCGATCAGTTACACAAAGGCATACGCGTAAATGCTAGTTTAATGTGAGCCGGTTTGCGGTACGGACGGCCAAGCGATGTCTTGTTGGTTTTGTATAAGGCTAAATGCGTTAACCATTTGATCATGCGAATATTAATTGGCTTTGGCCAACACCAAAACTCGTCCCGAGCCCCGAGCCCCAGCCCAGCAGCACTTTTGCTCTAATGTTGCCTGCAACAAAATGCGCGCATGCGTCAAAAGTTGCCATCATTGGATAGGATAGGCAAAGAGTCTGTCCAGCCAGAATGACGACGTTTTGAGCAGCCTGGGACAACGTGGAACCTGGGACCTGAGCATCGGCCAACATCATACTAGAGATGGGTTTTAGTTAAAGCAGAGAAAGAGATTTTTAAGTACTTTCACAAAACAAATTGTACAAAATATACAAATTTCATCTGATAATGCCAAAATTGATGTAGACAAGCATTAAACAGGAACTTTTTCCATGATTTCCAAAATACTGTCACGATATCGTGTCACGTACCCATCGCTAGGCGGCTGGCAGCATTTGATGCCGCTTCATCTGCCGCTTAACGGTTTAAGTTATTGTCTCTCTCCGTCTCACTTGCGTGCAATTTGTGGCGCACAGCTTATCACAATTTCATTATTATTATTATTATTATTATTAGTATAGTCAAGGGGATATGTACATGTATCGTTACCATCAGGACACCCCACCTTCCAGTCTCTCTTCTACAGAGTACCATTTGCCATTTATCTGGATGTGCGTTTATTTGTAATTGAAATTGCGTGACTTTATTCTTTGATTTCGCTATTCGCCATTGCCATTGCCTTTGCCATTGCTTCTATTCTCGTAATGTGCTTTGGTGAATAGGGTGGAGCGGGGGAATGTGGAATGAGATGCCCAGAGGAGAGGGGTCAAACTGTAAACTTGCACATTTTGCCCTCTTCCAACTGATTTATGCCTTTAACGGCACAGCACACAACAAAGTGCATATACAAAAAAAAAACAACAAAGCCCAGCAGTTATGCTTCAATTCATAATACGACCTGAGGATACCATATGTATTACCAAGCGTAATACTAAGAAGAAGAAGCATGTCAATTAAAATATCAAAATGATTAAACTATGAAGCTTTTACAATCAATTTCATCAGCTTTTTTAAAAATTATTTTCTTTTGTACCAGACTGTTACAAATTTCTTCACAAACCCAACATACCCTTGTATTCTACGAGTAATGCATATAATTGCCAACAAACTTTTCTTGAGCTTTCATTTCGCCTCGGCTGCAGCGCAGATGAGAGTGAGTGGCGGTTGCTTTTAAAGCTGTTCTCCCGTTCCAAATGCCAGCAAGCAACGAAATTTTTGCCCAGCCCTTGACAATCGAATGTGTCCCAACCACCTCCCAAATTGATTTTGTGTGTGTGACTGTGCATGTGTATGTGGGTGCGTGGGAGAAAGCAATACTAGACAAGAGCTTTTTTTTTTAGTGCTGTGCTGATAACCCGAATGCTGGGTGCCTGTTATGAGTTGTACCAAAAAAACCGCCAGACGCCAACAAAACGTGTGTACTGAAAGTGGTCGACATGTTAGCAATTCAAGCATTTATTCCATTCGGTGACTTTGCTGCAGATGAATGAATAAAATAACGATTACTCTAATTTCTCTCTATTGGCATCCATTGGCCTGAGACTTCGATATACGTGTAATCCTCACAAGTCTCAAAGCAATGTCTTTCGGTAGAAAATCTATTCCGATTGCCGCCACAATTAGAGTATGTAAATTGACGGCATTGTTTTCGATTCGCATCGTAGGCCCACATCAAACGATGTCCTTTGCATTCTCCATACTCGGGACGAAGTTCACAGACCCCTATACAAAATCACAAAATTAATTCCTTATCCGTATCACATTTATATAAGAGTTCACTTTTTCTCAATGAAACACTGGCTACAAAATCAACAACAACCACAAACGCGGCCAACATGCCAAGTAAAACTCCGAGCATTCGCATTATCGCTCCTCAAACTCAGAATGTAAAGTGAACTGGATTTCAGCTGTTTTTGGGATATTTATAGCTTACAAAATATTTCATTTTGTTACAAATGGAAATGTGCTTGGGTCTATTACACCGAGTCATTATTTGAAATGAGTTAAGTTGCTATCGGAGAACATCTGCATTTCTCGTATGTACAAAGTCGAAATTGGAAAACTAATAGAGAAACCAAATATCACAATGCTGATAATGTAGACATGTAGGTATACAGAACTTTTTTTTCTTTTTCTTTAGCGAAAACTAAGATTCTCGGTCCCCACTTTTACTGTAAGCCATTGAGCTCATCCGCACCTACGAGAGATGTTTCTACCACGTTTTCCATCTTATATGAATATATATTTATTGAAAATAATATCTTTTATTTTAATTGTGGTATTTATATCTATATTCATCAGTTTTTTCAAACATCACACAAGTGTTGACACATTCCTCATAAGTTGAAAAACGGTTACGATTGCCACCGCAGTTGGAGTAAGTGAATAGAGTGCATTCATTATTGTCTTTATCGTAGGCCCACACCATTGTATGTCCATCGCATCTTCCATACTCGGGACGCATTGCACAAATCCCTGCAAGAATTGTCACCATTATTATATCCGTGTTCCATGATATCGCTTATATCTTACCCATCTGCAACGGATCATGAGCCAAACCACATTGTATAAAAGCAGCAAGCACAGGCAATAGTCCAAGTAATGCTCGAGAATATTTCATATTTTCCAATTTGTCCCTAGAAGGTTAGAATGCAACTGAGCTGAAGTGCAACAGATGTTGTAGTATTTATAAGTAAGCTTTTCCTAGAGCAGTGAGTCCGTGTAATTGAAATGAATGAATGAAACAATGAACTAGTTCACTAAGCCCAACGATATTTTCTGTTATGGGTTTTAAATTCCTTGTACAGATATTTTAATTAAGGCATAATTTTAATTTTAGGCGTACATTTGTGCAGACACAACATTTATTAGAAATAGCTTTATTTAAATTAAATCTTTAATTGTATTTAACGTCTAATAAACCCTTATCCGTTACAATAACTCATGCACTGCTCATTGCTGTAAAAACGATTTTGGTTTCCACCACAGTTCGAATAGACGAACAACTGGCATTCATTCCGGTAGATGTTATAATTAAACAGTAACCGATGTCCTCCGCAATTGCCATAGGCAGGTCGCATGCTGCAGATAGCTGTGCAAAACAGAAAGCAATTGTAATCAATTTTTAAAACATTTCAGGGTAACAAACCAAAACGTTTCTTTTTTTCTAGCTTGTCAGATACGTCCTCCGAGGATTCTTTCTTGGCATACACCAGTGAAGCAGCTAAAAAAAACACAACAAGACGCATCCAGAACATTTTGATATATTTGTAGAACCAGCGGCAGTTCAATGGCAAACTCAGACACGGGTCTCTGACATTTATAGTGCCATCCAAGGGAAGGCTATTAGTCAGCACACATTCTGTTTTCTCCACAAATAAAAGCTGTTGTCTTTATATAAATATTTTTTTAGGCTGTAAGATGTATAATATTTATTGAAAGGCGTGCAAAAAGAAAGGGTGGGCGATTTAGTATATAAGGCACAATCGTAAGTTTTTCATTGGTAGTCTGCATCAAATTCCAGTTGTTTAGTCATATAACCCGGTGTTTTCGGCAAAGCCTGTCACAATTTCTAAGGGAGTAGAAGCGATTTTCATTGCCACCACAGTTCGAATAGATAAATACATCGCATTTATTCAATAATGAATTGTAGTACCACTGAGTGCGATGTCCCTTGCATGCGCCATAAGACGGTTTCAGCAGGCAAAAATCTATTCGGATCGGAAAGTTATTATTGTCTTTTTGGCACATTTTTTCATTTAATCTCAAGAAAACAAACCCATGTTAAATGATATATCTTTTATCACAACTGTACCTGGCAAAGCCTCCACGCTTTGGGTATACACAAGCCGAGTGACAAGAGAAAAAAGAGCAATGCACAGCCAAAACATTTTAAAGTCTTCACAGCACCCACGGTAAGCAATTGAGCAACTTATGTCCAGACCGGTGCATTTATACTGGCCGTCAATCAAAGTATCCATGAATGTATTCTCACGAATGTAAACTTAGCTCTACCTGGATTCTTAATTTAGCAAACGAGCTGATCCGAAACTTTGATGTGGGAAAGGTGTGCACATTAAAGGTGTTAACGATTCATCAAGAACAAATTGTACTCATTTCCACGGCACATAAGATCCGTAAACCAAGGGGATGGGCTGAATACAAATGTACCATCTCTAAAATAAAATATTTCAGAAATGGAAAAATAAATGACAGAATGAATAAATAGAACAGAGTCGACATGTCTGTTTCTATACAAAGTATTCAGTTAGTTTTACAGAAATCTACAATAAATAAGACTTCAGAGCTATGCATTTTAAATTCTCCTGAAATATCCTCTAAAATTATTACATTTTAAATGTACCATCATCCAGAGTCTTCAAAAGGGCTTTAGCTGTTTTCTATATTTCCCCTTATTGATTTAAAAATTAAACCATTCTTAGATAATATTTGTTCATTTACTAAATAATTTACCAAACCCGTGAGATACATTTTCGTCATTCTTTATTAAGAAACTGCTAATATGATCATGACAAATATTTTCACGTGTTTTTCTCAACGCTTTTCAAAAAATCAATTTCGTTACATACGTATATCATTTTATTATTAATATTTTAGTGAATATTTCCATTTATAATTATTTTCTAATATTAGCTAATATCCAATCATTCATTTGTAAAGATTTATAGATAGTATCCGGGTCCTGTTGTTTGCAAAAATCGTGGCATTCCTCATAGCTGTGAAAACGATTGTTATTACCGCCGCAATTCGAATAGATGAAAGACTCGCATTTCAAGCGCAAAGCGTTGAAGTAAAACTGCCGACGATGGCCCTTGCATTTTCCATAGGAAGGTTTCTGGAGACATACATCTGAAAAGATAGTAAACTTATATCTTTAATTCGTTGGGTAAAACTGAGAGTAACAAACCATTGTGTAATTTTTCTCGAAGCTCTCTAAACCAATTATCCCTAAAAGGATCTTTGGTTGCGGTGGCATAAACAATACCAACGATCATGGAAACAATTGCAATGCGCAGCAAAAACATATTCAGGTGAGATCTTTCTGCCAGCGAATGACCAACACAGTCCCAGAGTTCTGGCATTTATACTCCAATGAAAGTAGAGGGTTTCTACAAAGCAAAAAGTTTCCCCTACCTGTACTATAAATTTAGCATCCAAAGTTATCCAAAACTTGTCATGTAGAAAAGGGCTTGGGCTTGCATTACTCAGTACGAAAAAATCTCCGAGAAACAAAGTAATTATGCAGGCACCAATTCAGTTAAGCCACGCGCATTTATTTCAGTATATTTAATTGTAGTTTTCAAAGCCGTACAGAACTCTTATACTCTTTGTATGTTTCACAGTGTATTTCTATGTACATCTTAGAGTTGACGGCAAAATTTGACGCATTCGACATATTTGGGGAACCGATTAGGGTTGCCGCCACAGTTTGAATAGACGAAATGCTCGCATTTACTCCGATGATAATTGTAGTACCACATAACACGACGACCTTTACACCTGCCATACGACGGACTCTGGCTGCATATAGCTGAGCGGAGAAGAACTTTTTTGATTACTTTTCAGGGAATATTTCATGGCAACAAACCACTGCGTACGTATGTCTCCATGTTCACTATTTTCTCCGGAGGTATCTCTTCGATGTTAGCATACACAAGCGAAGCGGCTAGAATAGCAAGAGTAAGGCGCCTCCAAAACATATCTGAGTCGTACCCACGGCTAGGCAATGGCAGGCTTCAGCCCGGTCTACTATAATTTATAGTGCCATGGAGTGGGCACGAGCACTAGCCAATTAGTGAGGTGTTTTCTGTAATAATAAGTACCAACTGGTTCTTGTTTTTAATAGTTCTGTGTGTGTCCAGAAGTCGGTCGACCGCTTTAAATTAAACGTCCAAGCGGTGGACTCCAACAAATATTGGGATATTTATATATAAGTATTTATGTACAAATCATCAAAAAAAACGTGACACCAAAAAATATTATGGAACAAAATATTGAAATTAAATAGAATTCACTTTAATTTAAATAATTGTATATTATTTTAAATTTAAATGGTTTACGTTTTAGATACATTTTTAGATTTATGTTTAAATGAGAAATATTACGGCTCTTTTATTAAAACCACCAAATCCTTATTTCGATTTCGATCTATGGAATGAACGACAAAATTCGACACATTCTTTATAGCCATTGAACCGATTGTGGTTACCCCCACAGCCCGAATATATGAAAGGCTCGCAATTATTTCGTTGCTTATTGTAGAACCACTTTGCCTGAAGTTCTTTGCATCTGCCGTAGTCCGGATTATTGCGGCAGGCATCTGTTCGAAGTAAATTTATTTTTAGTTAGTAAATATAGTAAGTATGTATAAGAGTAACCAACTTTTGAGTAACTGTTTCTTCCACTCATTATCCTTTTCCTCCGACTTATCCTCTTCGTCTGTATACACATTCCAAACAGCAAGAAGTAAAATGACGAGGCGCAGCCAGAGCATTTTCTGAGCACTTACGACACGCCAATGACCAATTCTGGCAAAGAGTTTCTGGCATTTATACTTACTCGTATAACGCGTAGTCCGTTAAACAAAAGAAAAAGGAAAGTTTCTCAAAAGTGGAATAAAAACTTTGATGTGGAAAAGCAATGAGCAATGAAATAAATGTTACCGATTAGTCAGCGGGAATCACACTCTTATCGACGGCGCTTTAGTTGATAATTATTGTATTTACTTATCTTAGTTCTTGAAATGAGGAGGTAGTCAACTTTGTTGATTTTTTTTTATTAAAATAAGACGTAAAGTAAGTTAACTTTATTAAACAAGTTTAAAAACATGTAAGTCCAATATAATGTTAATGCAAATAATAATATTGATCTTAGTTTTAGGGAAAATGATTTCTAAGCTTAGCAGGAGCCGCAAAGCACTGATTAGCGCATTCCTCATAGGAGTAGAAACGATTTTGATTGCCACCACAGTTCGAATAGATAAAGCGCTCGCATTGATGGCCGATGTTATTGTAGTACCACAAGGAGCGATTTCCCTTGCATGCGCCATAAGAAGGGTCTTGGCTGCAGAATACTGAACGGTCCGGATCATGCATTAGTTATTACGGCAATATTTGGCTAACAAACCTCTGCGCTTAATATATAACATAGTTTCAGACTCATCCTGCGCATTCGAGTATAAGTCTTCTTTCCTCCCTTTGAGTTTTGCAGAGGCGAGCCAAACGAATAGAGAAACGAGAGCAAGGCGGAGCCAGAACATGGCGAGATCTCTCGTGGGAATCCACTGAAATCCACTGACCTACAGAGGCACAGGCCTGTGCTATTTATAGTTCCATTAATTGTAACGAAATAAATGAAATGATTGAAAAAAGAAAGTTCTGATCCATTCCACCTGGCATTTAAAATAAGTGGCCAATTTGTTGGCAACTTTCATGTGGCAAAGTGTTTGTGCCATAAAGGGCTGTAGCTTAGAGAATTGCATTAGTAATTTTACTGATTTGGATCCTCACACACAGGGAGAGACGACCTTGTACTTAGATTCTGGAATTGATGTATTTCAAAACAAATTTGAATCTTTTTATAATAGTTTTGCTTTGGCTGAGCGCATATAAGTGGGATTGTGAAATTCTGAGTTGAGCCAAATAGATTCATTATAGATATATACATATTCTTAGCTAGGAAAATGATTATTTTTTAGAAAATACATCGGAAGTTTTCCAGTGTTCTTCGCTGCAAAACTTCTCGCAGTCATCTTGGCTGTGGAAACGATTTCGGTTTCCTCCACAATTCGAAAAAGTGAACGGAGCGCATTTTTTGCTTCGGAAATTGAAATTCCACATTTTGCGTTTTCCTTTACAACTTCCATAGGAGGGTCCTTTATAGCAGATTGCTGAGCGGTTGGGAAATCATTGTATCATACGTGTTTGGTTAAATCTGTGTTTAACATACCTCTGCGCTCCTTTAGCATACTTTTTACACGCAGAAGCATCGGATTCTCAAGTTCCTCAAATTCTTCGGAGCCACCAGAGACAAGTACAATGCAAAGGACTAGAAAAGTAAGAATAAGCCGCTGCCAGAACATGTTGAGATCTTCTCGGAATCCACTGAAAGCTTCTACTGATCGACTTAGGCACAGTTCTCTGACATTTATAGCTCCATTAATGGAAACTTTGGGGCAGTGCAGTCCACTTCGTCACGAAACTTCTCACTTAATTGGCTTTTAAAATAGAACTTATCAAGTTTTTCTTAGTTTTTATTTCGATCCTCCATCATTGGTTGTTGATGTAGCTTTAATTTAAGATTTGGCCCAATATACCCACAAAACTTTAATTTCACTAATAGAAACACTTTTCTTGGCGCTGAATCTTTTTAATTTGTTCATAAATTAAGTACATACGAATATAAAAAACCAACCAGGAAAATAATACAAAAAACACATTTTCAAATTCACAAAAATATGAAAACAAAATAAGTTACTAATAAAAATGTACATACTGTAGGTGGTATACATACTTTAAAGATTGATGACCAAATAAAATGGTCTTCTTGTGGAATAGAATTCAACCGATTTGAACAAATCTTTTCCCTTCATCCATTCAATTGCAAAAAACACCATTGACAAATATCAATGTATTTATTTTTGGAAGCGGGCTTTGTAAAAACAGAATATTACTCTCCGATCCCAACCCTAACAATGACCATCAACAAAGATCCAACATATAGATATTAGACTGTATATACGGGTTATTTAAATAAGAAAATTGATGTAGTCAGCAATTGAGGTATAATTTTGTATTGAAAGAATCATTAAAACTTTATTTTTTTTTAAATATTTAATGCTAAACTTCGAACCACAGGCTGGATTCCATCAACTACAATTATCTTTGTATTATTATTAAGGGAATATACATAATTACAATTCATTTAATTTTTATTCATTCAGTGCTACAAATTTTCCAAAAATTGTTTCATATTGTAGTTGCCGCAGAATTCCATACATTCCTGACGGGTGTAGAAACGGTTCCGGTTTCCACCACAGTTTGAATAAATGAACGATTCGCATTTATCTCGAAGGGCATTGAAGTGCCACATTTTGCGCTTTCCTCTGCAATCGCCGTAGGACGTACGGGGTATAAGGCAGACCTCTGATTAAATGAAATCATGTATGTACATATGTGTGACTAATTTGTTGGCCAATTCTATGGATAACAAACCTTTGCGCTCTGTCATCATTTTATCTTCCAACAGTTCCGATGCGTCCATTTCCTCATATTCAGTCTGTTCTGCATATACAAGCCAAATGGCTATAAAAACAATGGCAATTCGCAGCCACAACATGTTTGGCTCTTCACGGAATCCACTGAAAGCCACTAACCGACTAAGAATCAGGTCTTTGGTATTTATAGTTTCACTGAGGGAAAGAAAAGTCCACAGATTTGTCATAAATACTTTCACTTACAAAGTTTTCACAACAACTTCGATGTGGAAAAGTGGTTAAGCTGTGGCTAAACGTACACCTAGAAAAAATAAATAGTTTTAAGTAGAAAAAACTACCGTAGCCACACCGCTTCAGTACTTGTTGGCAAATTTATTTTTTTTTGTAGTTTATGCCTTCTGCTTTGTGTTTTCCTGATTTTTTGTAAGAAGTTTATCTAATTGCTCTTCGCCATTTCATGAAAAGAGGCAGAGCTCATGGGGTAAGCATAAGTAATATATAAATTATTTTAATATTTTTATGCCAGCATAATCATAAAAAAAAAAATATTATTATCGATTTAATGAAAACAGTAACTTTATAGTCAAACCAGATTTTGCTGAAACATGGCAAAGGCACGTTGTTATTTGAAACATTGACTGTACATTTTCCAACAATTTACATTTTTTCTTAACGTTGTTTAATTTAGATGGCCATAACAAAACTACCTTTAACATTTGCCCAAGTCAAAACTCAGTGAAAAAGGGTTTGGGGCTACAGCCGCCAATATGGAAGTCTCTGCCCTGAGAGGCAGAACGTTAGCTGATCCACGTTCCAGAAGGTATCTTTTGTCATGTCTTTGTCGATGTATTTTGGTAGTCCGTAAAGTGAATAAAATAATAAACTAGCATTATGTTTAAATAAAAGAGTCCATGATTTTGTTTTCTTGTAATATTTTTATTGAAGGGTAAATTACAAGAATGTTATAGATGGTCTGATGCAGACCAGATTATGAGTTTGTTCCATTATTACGCCCTGGATGAGTATATTGACAATTCCTTGCATTTTCTTCATTCATTCATATATTTATGGATCACACTTTTCAAGTTGTAGTCGCTGCAATATTGCATGCATTCCGAATATTTGTAGAATCGATTACTGTTACCACCACAGTTGGAATAGGGAAACCGCTTACAGGTATCTGACATAGGATCAAAGTACCACATTATGCGATTTCCGTCGCAGTTTCCATAGGAATGCTTTTGGAGGCATGTTTCTAAGTAAACCAAAAAATTTCAAATACAATCAATTTTGCACAAAGGATTGGCATTGACATACCTATGCGTTCCTTCTTTGCATTTGTGTCATTCACCTGTTCCACATCGATTTCGTCCTCTAAGGGTTTCGCGTACACAAGCCAAACGGCTAGAAAAAAAAGCAAAAGTCGCCCCCAGAACATGCTGAGATCTACTACTAATTGGACAAGGCATAGTCCTCTGGTATTTATAGTAAAACGGAAATAGAACAAAAAAAGTTCTGAACCGTTGCATCTGGCTTCTAAAGTAAGTTGGAAAAGTTAAATACTTAGATACGTACGGATAAGGAAAAGTGCTTAGCAATTGCTCAACTCAACGTGTAATCAGTGGCCAGAAAGTTATGTGACTGGTTGGTTGGTCAGCAGCAGAGAAACAGCAAGCGAATTCAATTAAATTTCCCAATAAATTGCAAGTGCAGAAAGCGAAATACAAAAAATAATCGCACGCGTTTCCACGGCGCTTCAGTTCATGTTAGACAGATGCATAAAAAAATATATAAACTGGCCAGCCAGCCTGGTCTCTGGCGTGCGACGTTTAAACCGGTACTTAGCACTCCAATACATGATTACGCAAGCTGAACACCTTAGCTCACTTATACATACAACTGTATATACATACATCATCTTCTGCTTCATATTAACGAATCATAATATCTGCTGAGATCGCACACATCACACACACACGCCGCGCTGAAAGCGAAAACATCGGGAAAAATGTTTTGATAAATTTGAAATTCTAGATCAAGGCCAGGCCCGGCTAGGCCCATAAATATAAATGCACATTGGATATCAATGCTAGGCACACGCAAAATGCGTAAGTAAACTAGTTTTTTGTTTGCCTCCACCGATGCAGCAGGAGATCTGGAGAGCCAGAGCCCGTTCCACGTTCCACGTTCCACGTTCAACGTTACTCCGGCAAACGATTGCAAAGGAAGCACTGCGCTGCCACGCAACACGATAAATTGTCAGGCGAATGCATTTTGTCACATTTGGCTAT